AATTGAACCCAATTAAGACAAGATAATTGCAACTAATTGCAAATTATGTATAAATTTTTTTTTTAATAAAGACAGCAAATATACTTGACAATTATTGTATATTTTATAAGTGACTAAATTTTGTAAACCACATTGATTAATTGTAGATGTGCTCATAATTAGTTAATTGAGATCAAATAATTGCAATAAATTGCCTTCACAATTAATAATTTAGTACGCCATTTGCTCAATTCGAGATTGTACTATAAATGCAATTCTGTATTGCCAAGACTAAGGTTTATCTGTAATATTATATGGTTTCGATACTTAAAAAAGCATTGCCATCTGTTTAGAAGCTTTGAAGATTGTTTGTTTTTAGCATAGATTTATAACTTTATAAGTAGTTAAGTTCATAATTTTAGCAGTTTAGATTTTGGCTTTAACAATAAGTAGATATATAATTTCAATAGCAACAATTCGTAATTATAATGGTAGTTTGGGATTATGATGCCTTGTAAAAAAGCACGTACTTTAAATAAATTAAGAAAAAAATAATAAAAGATAACAGTTTTGTTAAAAAAAAAAATAAATAAATAAAATATAAGATCAATAAAACATAAATTTAGCAACAGCTTTATAGGGATAATAATTAAATATAAAATAATATATACTGTATTTATTTTATTATAATATATTTTACAATATATATTGTCTACAGATTATAAATATAAATTAGTCTTCCTCTAATACAACAGACGTTCTTTTTAGTGACGATGGTGATGAAACAGTAATTAACATTTCTGAGGATTCTGAAATAGCCGATTCCAGCTCCATAGAATCCTCAGAACTATTCAATATTTTATGCACAGTATATGCAATTGCTGTTCTAAAAGAAAGAAGGGCATGGATGAAAGAGTAAACACCCGCTAGGATCGTTAATAGAAGTTTTAATGGAATTTTCACTTTATCAAGCAACAAGACTCTATATAAACTGGATTCCTTGTATATATAACGAAACTCCACAACATCTCCGGCAACGTTGATTATAAATATTGACATGTATCTCATCACCAATTTTTCAAATTTTCTCTTATATTTTGATAACTTAGTTACATCAATAGAATCTTTGCCAAGCCTGTTGAGTTTTTTGTGATCCCATATTTGTTTGTCTAGAGATAATTTTGAACGACCTGTTTCAAGATATCCAATCTCAACTTCTACGTTAGACATTTGAGCAACAACTATATAATTAGGACGTCTTGTTCATTGATATGACCCCTTCCTTTCTGCACTGGTTGAGCTCGCTTTTTCTCCCCTTTTTTATTTAAAAGTATTAGTATTTTAAATAATATATAAAAAGAAAATAAAAAATAAATCATATCATATTCCTCATACATCAGAATCTACAGATAAATTACTTATTATAACATTTATTAATAGTGATAAAACCTCTGACATATACGACCCCTCATTTATGAGAGACAATTGGCTTTCCCTACATGCCTTCCATTTGGAAGA